CATAAACTGGGATGCCATCTGCATGCAACTCCTCCACCAGCCCACAGCAGCTCCTGCTCTGTGCAGGTACCAGCGAGGGCAGTGTGTGCCCACACTGCCTCAGAGCAGCTCACCTGGCCTGAAATTTGGCTTTACTCAGCTCTTACAGGCCCTGGCTGCTCTTGCAATCAGTGTTTGCAGCTAAGCTGTGGGTTTGTTTCCTAGAGTTCATCCAAGTGTGGTTTCAGGTTTTCACCAGGCTTTTGCAATAACACAATGACCTTTAAGGAAAGAAGGAAGAGATGCAGCTTTCAGAGAAGAAAATACCTGTGAGTATCAGTGTTTTGGTAGCTCCCTCCCAGGCAAGCTGGTACGAATCTCTGGGCATGTGCCTGTCCTTTTCAGAGCCCAGCAATGACACCGAGTGCTCGCCCTAGATGCTGAGTATTTAGGGTTATCCTATACTCAGTATATTCACCTTCCAAGAGGTCTGGGATGCAGGGGGCATGCAGCAGCTGTTATGTGGCAGTGTTGTACAAACACAAGGCAGGTGTTGGCTGGCATCCTGTCTCTCATATGTCGAGTGTAACTACAGGAGCTGCCACGTTTCCGCCAGCTGGGAGAGTCCCCAGCGTATTCCTGTGGATATTGTATTCCCATAAATATAGATTGTCATATCCCACTGAAATGCCCTCCCCAGCAGATTGTTCCCCACCAGTTACCACTGTGGATGAGCCCCTCACTGCACTCTGATTTTGGATACCAGTAGGGAGGTGTTGCAAACCCTGCCCACGCAGAGGCTTTCAGGCAGGCTGTCCATGCAGGCATGGGGAGCTGGACTGTAGGTCCTTGCAGACTGGTTTATCTCTCCAGTCCCGCTTTGGACAGGAATCTGGAATTTCTGACTCCCATGCTCTGGGGTTGGGATGTGGGGTCACTCATAAGAGGCTGTTTCTAAGTGGAGCACAACCTGTGCAGAGAAGTCTTCATTGATGGCAGCCATTCCTATGCCAAGTTTTCTCACAGGTGTGATGTATGTGTATTATTTTTGGCCTCCCAAAGCAATTTTGGTTGTCAGTCTTTCCAAAATTGCATGTGAAAGGAGGTCTTTCAAAGAGACCAGCATGGAGTTTTTCCTCCCCTGGCCTGCCTGTGCTGTGTCTCCTCCTGAGACACGTCACCTCTCTTTGCAGCTCCCTGTTCCTGTAACACAGGTACCACCCAGAGAGGTGGGTTTCACCCACGGGCTGAGTTGTTGTAGGCAGCTGAGCAGCCATGGCTCTGGTAAAGGGGTTGGTTGTTCAGACTTTGAACCAGAACAGAATCCTAAATTCCTCTGGACTAGGGAAGGGATGGGGTGCCAAAAATCAACTCTGAAAATGTTTTTCCTCCTTATGAATAGCTACTGCTGATGTGAGCTCAGAAAAGCTTCTAGTTCCTGAGGAGCCAAGGTGAGATATGCTCCTGTCCAGGATCAGATCTGCAACAGAGGGAGCATAAGGCATGGTGAAATTCCTGGAAAAAATGGTCCCCAGAAGTGCACATGGGTGTTCCCAGATGCTGTAGGCATCAAAGCAGCCCCCCAAGTGCAGGTGGGAGCCTGAGCCAGGCCCTGTGCCACAGCCAGACTCCACATGCCTTTGGTTTTGTTACTCATGCCTTAATCTTTTTCTTCCCTTGGGGAAACTTATAAAAGTAATTGTAAAATCTCTGGCAAGGTGATGGGAGGAGAGAGGAAGCGTGGGGGAGATCTCTGCCCTGGCTGCCCTGTTGATGCTGCAGCTGCCCCAGGCAGAACTCCCGCTTTGCAGGGGCACCCCTGGGGAGACTCACCCCTGTCATCTGCTCCCTGTTAGCTGTGCTGGCTAATCAAAAAAATCCCCTGGACAGAGTGGGACCAAGGAGACAAAATACAGGGCCTCACCACTTCAGGTGTCTTCAGAGGGGGGCTTGCTAGAGGTGGAGGGAGAGATGCTGCTGCAGAGATCGGGCCGTGACTGCATCGACCTGAGCGGGTGATGGACCCTGGGGTGAGGATCTTCTGGAGAAGCACATCCTTCCCTGTGAGGCTGCACCATCATTTGGAAAATGAGATTAGGGCAAATATTTTTTATATCCCCCAGACAAGAGCACTGAGCTGCTGGGTATTTGATACATCAGAGTGATTGGTCTCTGCTCGCTGCAGCAATGGGCAGCTAAGCCAGGGCGCTTAGCATCAGGAAATCCCTCACAGCACAACACTCTTTGAAGGCAAATGTGACCCTTTGATTGGCAGCTCTAAATCTGACTGGACTTAAAATAGGAACCTCAACATCAGCTTTCTGAAATTCAACTCTCCTTAAGCTTCACTGTTTTGGCCCTGCTTAATTCTGACTTCGGTATACAGGCAATCTGCAAATGGAAACCATGAAAAAAAAAGCAAAATAAGGCTGTGGTATGGAGTGGCAGCTCTGTGCTTGCCCTGTTTGCTCTTTTCCAGGGCCATCAGAGATGGGTTAGGTGGGCTCCTACTCTCTATCTGAAGTGATTCTTATGCCCTTGTATCGTAATGGGTATTTCAAGCAGTGGTGCAAACAGGGGAAATTCCTGTCTTTAACTTGTCTGTTAGACACCAAACACTCCTGCACATGTAATCCCACAGCTCAGAGGGTCTTCAGGCCAGAGGCCACACACATCAGTCTCAGAGTAACAGTGGGCAAAACCTCATACTAAGAGCTCTCCTCTGCTTCTCTGTCTTCCTTTCCAGCTGCCTACAGCATTTTTCATTGCTTGCCCCACCCAAAGCACAGATGAAATCCATCCATGTTTCAGCCCAGTGATGGGAGTTTTTCACCAGCCATTAAATAGTTTTTTGTGCCTGTTTTGCAGAGGACCCCCGGATCAGACACCTCAGATTTTCATGACTGCTCATTGCAGCACATCAGTGGCAAAGGTTTGTTTCTTTGTTTGGTTTTAGTTAATGCTGCTTCACTGCAAGATCCCTGCCAGTTATATGAGTATGAAAGCACTGGGTAAACAAAGCTGCTTTTGTTTGTCTGATGTGTGGATTCCACTGGTGGATTTTGCTGTGGTGGCGAGTTTTGCCAGTACAGCTGCACCAGCAAGACTGGTTAAGAGCAGGTGAGAGGAGCTGGATGCATATCAGCTGATTGGCAGCCAATACACTGCATCTCCCCTGCAGTCGCTGCTGGCTCAGGAATATGATGAATAAGGGTGTTTGCTCCCTAAGCCAGTACTCAGTGTGTTGTGTAAGGCAGGGCTCATCCCTGCTCACATCTAGAAGCAGGAATGTGTGGTGGCCTCCCAGCGTGGGGAGCAGAGCATACACCAGGGAGCTGCATGAACTGTATGTGTGGACTTGTGTTCACTTGGCCACACTCCATTGCATCTTTAGGTTGGGGGTTCCTCTTTAGAGCCCCCCAGAGTCAGATATTTCAGCACCCTAAGCCAAACTCTCTGTAAAAGCTGGGTCCTCAGGCTGCAGGGAGCCCTCGGACGGTGCCGTGCCCCAGGCTCTTGCTGAGTCCTGGGGGTGTGCACAGGCTGGCTGCAGGAAAGCCTTTTGGGTGATCACTTTTACCGCCTTGGCTTGCATTCAAACAGTTTGGGAGTCGTCTGCTGAGGAGCTGCCAGTTGGTGCTGCTGCTGTTTGGTCTGGACCATGCACAGACATGCAGGGGAAAGCATTTCTGCCTCTGCCTCCTTATCTCCCCCACAGGAATGCAGCATCTCCATTCAATGTACACACACCATGCTCTGTCTCTAGAAACGGCCAGGACAAAGCAAACTTTTTGGAGCTGGGGAGAGAGGGTTACTAAGGAGGAGCTGATGGCTTTGAGGGTGGTGGAGAAAGAGGGCAACATGGAAACAATTAGCATTTTTTTCCTTCTTTTTGCTGAAAATGGGGGTTCTACTGCTCTCACACCTGTACAGTGTTCCTTCAAAAAAGGCAAGGCCCCTTTTCCACAGCGAACAAGCTGCATGATCTTGAAGTCGTTTTGTCCTGCCTGTGAGTGCAGTAACTCTTTGGAAGCCCAAAGAGAAGTTTGCCCTGTCTTTGCACTGTGTCTGAGGGGCACAGCAGGAACTGAGCTCTGATTCCTCCACAATACCTGAGAAGCAGGGAGCACCAAAATATGCCACAGAAGGAATCTGGCAGCACATACAGGGCAATTTGCTACCCCACCTTATGCATTTTATTTCCCTGTCTGTGGTTGTTTCTCTCTGCTCTACCTATGTGGGTTTCACTGTTGCTTTGGGCTGGTTTTTCTGCCCTCGGTGGTGTTGACTTTATTGTGGAAAAATGTAAGGAGGCTCTGGGAGAAGCAGTTGTTTTGTGTGCTGGCTTCAGGCTCCTCATGTTTTGCTGCCTCCTTATCTTTCTGTTTCCAAGTAGTGTGACAGATACTTCTTTATGTGTATGTTCATAGGGATGTACAAACATACATGTGCTTGCACCTATATATACATGCACAGATGTGGATATAAATGGTGGGCCAAAGAAACTGTTGAGAAGTTACTGCAGTGGCCTTTAAAATGAGCATATATTGCCTTCCCCTATTTATTGAGAGGGGTTTTCACATATATTTGATATATGTGAAAATACATTTGCTATATTTCACGTGTAGCAGTGGTGAGCACAGGGCCCTGGCGTGGCTGACCCCCACCGGGTCAGCCCAGCACCACACACATTGCAGGTGTCTGGGGACTCAATTCAGCCACAGGTGTTTCGTGGCCCCAAGGCATCCAGACTTTGCTTGTCCTCAGCCCTTTGCCTCCCTTTGGAGAGGTGACAAGGTTGAAAAGAGAGTATTGTTGAAGGTCTGAAAGGCATCTGGGACAAGGACACCTTGCCTTTGAGGAGGCAGATATTGTCCACCTTACTGTGGTTCACACTCCAGCTGTGGAAGGATTTGGGATGTCTGTTTGGGAATGGCAGAGACATATTGGTGCTGGAGTGAACCTGCTCCTGTTCTAAAACATGTAACCTTCTCTCCTGGTTGTTCATTTTTTTTTTGCAGCATTTCATCTTTGACCGGTGAAACAACATTTCCCATGTACATGGAGAATTCTGTCCTCTCAAGCCAGCAGCAGTCTGTCTGAGGGGAAACCCATGTTTGCTCCTCTCCCATGGGTGCTTTCCCAGTGCCTGCCTCAAGCTACCTGTCCTCTCTTGGGATCCACCCTGACCACACAAGCAGTTGTGGAGGTGCGTGGTGTGGAGCAGAAACTCCTGGTGGTGGTGGGGCCCTGGCCAGCTGAGGACAGGTATGTGCTACCCAAAAGCATCCCGAGACTGTTTGCCCAGTGGCCCTTTGGGTGGAGGGGTGTGCCCTCGGCAGGCAGATCCCCTCCTGCTCAGACTTGCTCCCCAGTCCTCAGCAGTACTGCAGGCTGGCTCTCTACAGGCAGCTGGAGCAGCGCCTGGCCTGGGTTCAGGGCAGCAGAGCTGTCTGCGTGCTGGGCGAGGCCTCTCTGATCTGTGTGCCAGGAGCTGGATATAGACACAGACTGCTGGATGAAAGGTGAAAGGTGTGTAAAATCCCCCCCGAGGGGCTAGGATTGAAGCTGTGAAACCAAAAGCGTGTGGAAACACTTTAGGCTCCATCTGGGGCAGCCATATTTCCCTCCAAAACCAGTAGGAGTGGAGAGATCATAGGCTCTAACTCTACTGGTGTTTCGTTTTGGAGCAGTCGTGTGGTTTCGAAGCAAATTTCCTAATTGTCCTCACTCTCTGTGCACTGTGTTCATTGGGGGCGCAGTTTTTGTGCACATAAACTGGGGTCATCTTGGTGGAAACCAGACAAGGAGTTCTGCTCTGAGCTTGCAGCAGCCCTGGAGGAGGACGTGGTGGTTGAAAGCAGCAGCTGCTCCTCTGGGCAGCTGTGAATGACAGATGTGGCCAGAGGTTTGGTCCAGGTGATGAAGCCTAGCTGGAAGTATCATCCTTGAGCAGCATGCATGGTAGATGTAGGAGCCTCAAAAGCAACTTTTTCAGCCAACAGGTCTCCTCTGTCACGCACGGTTATTTGCTGGCATAGGTACTGCCCTTGAGTTTATGTGACCTCGTGCCCTTGGTGAGTAGTGGCCTCAAGTGGGTGTTGAAGTTTTGCTCTCCGGGGACCACAGGTCACCCCGCTCATGTCTCACATCTCCAACTGCAGGATGGCCTGTGCTGAAGTGTCGGCAGGCTTTGCCCTGCTGGGGTTAGAGTTGATCCCCTTTGCAGCAGGATCAGCGTGGGCCATCACGAAGAGCACTGGCTGCTTTTTCATACATTAGGTGTTTGAGAGAATGGCCAGAATGGCTGGTGATTTCCTGGTCTGGAAAGTAATTGCAGCCACCCTGGAACCCCTTGGGAAGGCCCTTGCCACCCTCTGCTGCTGCAAAAGCACATGTATTGGAGAAGATGGGGGTGTGGCATGCAATGGTGAGGTTATGGGAAGTGTTTTGGTGGGAGGCGGGAGTGTCAGCCTGCCTCGGTGTGCCCAGCTGCCGGGCTGAGCAACCTGACCAGGAGCTGCACTGTGCCAGGGAATACCCCCAGGAGCACCTCCAAGCTCATCACCTTTGGCCTCTGTCCTTCAGCTACTGCAAACCTGGGAATGGCAGCAGAACCACCCAGTCAGTGCTCAGAGCAGTGCCAGTTTCCCTGCAGCTGTTTGGAGGAACAGCTGAAACAGAAAACGGCTCTTTTCAGGCTTAATGCCAAGGTTTCCCTCTCCTTCTTGTCTCTCTGTGGGTATCATCTCAAACCACACACTTCCTGAATGAATCACTAGTGCCTGGAGTGGCCAGGCACTGCTTCCAGCAGGAAGGGGCAGAGGCTGCTACTCTGATAGGGACGTCACCTCACAGCCAGCTGATAAGGGGCCAGGGCTGGAAAAAATTCTTCATGAGAGCAACAGAGGGTCACTCTGCAAAAGCAAGGCATGTCCCAGCCACAGATTATTCCTTCCAAGCACAGTTTTGTGCTTTCATGTTGCCTTTATGTCAGATGTGGGAGGATAAGCAATGCCTGGTCTGGGGGGGACATGCCCCTCATGCAGCATGGTGAGTTTAGACAGGACTGGTGCTGTGCATGGTGTAAGATGGGCAGTTTGGGTCAGGAAGCACACCTGGGGTGACTGAACCATTGCCAACACAAGGGCAGAATGGTAGGAGGGCTGTTGGGTGGCCTAAGTCTGGTTGTGATTGTAGCTCAGAGAAGGCTGAGAGCAGTGGGGAGGCTGGGCCAGGCACTGGGGGGAAGGTTCCATGGTAGCAAAGGTGTGTTTGTACAGATGGACTTGGAAGAGGAAAGTGCTGGAGTTGGGAATACAACGGAGAAATGATTCATACAACAGTTGGTTGGAGAGGTGCTTTTTAAGTCCTGCCTCATTTCTTTAATCTATGCAATCCCTGGCATCTTGCTGGTGCTTTTCATCTAGAGATCTCCGAGATGAATACAACCATCACCCCCAAGCAGGAGACTGGAAAAATTCAGGTGCTGGAGCAGGTGGAGGTGAGAGTTGGGCTTAGAACAAGCTGTCCCATGGGGCTGTGCTTAGCTGCTGCCCCACCCTGCACTGCTGTAACTCTGCCTGCTCTGAAGAACCACAGCACTACTGACAAGGAGCTTCAGGGCCATGGCTGAGATAAACTGTACTGGCAGGCTCAGGGCTTTCCTCTGCCATCTTGGGTCTGTGTTGGAAAGCTTTCTCTGCTCGTGAATTCTTATGGACAAGGTAGGAAAAAGCCTTGGACTCCTGCTGTGAGGCCAGTGCCAAACTATGGGAAATGCCAGGAGGCACGGGTCTCCTTTTCCCAGAGGATTTTGACAGCAGCATGTCTGGTTTGGAGAACCTGTCTGTCCAGGAATTGCTTCCGTTGTGTTCGAAGGCTGGACAGTTCACCTATCACACCTATCAAAGTGGTACCTCAGCACTTCTGAGGAGTGCTTGAGGTGAGGTGATTGCTATCCCATGTGGACTGCTTGTTCTCACAGCCTCTCCAGTGGGAAGAGTGCATATCTTAGGGTGCTTTGCTTTGTACTTTATTACCCATGTAGGCTAATGAGGGTAGGGCAGGTGACAGAGAGGTTTGAGGTTATGTGGCTGCTCCTGAGCAGTTCTTCCCACAGTCCCAGAGGGACCCAGGAAAGTCCCAGCTCTTACATGGGGATACTCTGTCCCAAGGAGCTCAGCCATAGCTCTCCTGGCTTACTTCACTGTCCTGCCTAGCTTTTCTGAACTGTGTGGAAATGATTATTTCTCTCTTTCTCCCTTCTCAGTCCATAGGAGGTAGAAAGAAACTGCTTGAGCAGTGGGAGATGGTGAGATCATGGGGAGGGGTTGCTGGGGCTGCCAATTTCAGGGATTGTACAGGATTATGCCAATTTGAGTGAGAAGTTGCCCTACAGCAAGTCCTGCTGTGTGGGCACACTCAAGGATGAGGGGGCCTGGGCAGGGTCAGATGGAGAGAGAGGAGGGACTTTTGGGAAGCTCCTAGTGAAGGAAAGGCCAGCTTGGCAGTGGTTTCTCCATTCTTACTCTTACCTTAGCAAAGTTGTTTCCTGCTCAGCAGCTTTCCAAAAACCACAGACTTCTGCGCTGCCATTTCCCCTGGCCTCCTCAGGAAGGGACCCTGGAGAGGAGGCATCATTCCCAGCTCTCCTCAAGGGTGTTTGCTGTTTGGCAGAGCAAAAGGGACAGTCCTCCATCCCCAAAGATGAGCCCCTTTAAGCTGGTGCTAGAGAACCCAACCTTTCCGTGGCAGCAGATGTGGGATTGATTGAAGAAGACTATTTGCTCGGTGGCATTAGCCATACCAAACTAGATGTAAATGCTCCAACATGTTTTTTAAATCCAAATGTGTGGTAGGATTTATGACAACTAATGCAGGAACCATAGGAGAGTCTCAGAGCAAATCAAGTTCCCAGGCTCTGGTAGGTCTGTGGTGATGCCTTAGGCAGCAAGCCACATTCTCACCAGGGCTGTGACTTATAAATGAAATATGTCAGCAGTGCAGGACAGATCCAGGGCTAGTTCAGCTTCTGCTGTGTTATTCATGAGTATGTGAAAGCTCTGAAAAATGTGGCAGACTTTGGGTTAGGTTCTCAACACAACATTACTCCTCATGAGATGAAATATGAGCGTGTCTCTCCTAAGACAGGAATATATATGCTGGAAGCTGTGGGATAATGGTATATCTAAAGGGAAAGTGAAGTCTTTGGTGTTCTGCTGCTGGTGGGTTTGTTTTCACTTTCCTCCCAAGAGGAATACTTGCTAGCGATCTGCAAGCACTCACAGCCATGGCAGTGGGGTTCAAGTCACTTTGAAAACATTTTGCCCCAGAATTGCTTTTGCGTAAGATTTTAAAAGATCTCTTCTTGAGAGTGCAGAGGATTAGGAGCCCCTCCATGGCTTCTGGAGAGGTCACACCGCCAACCTGGAGTCTCCTTTTTGCCAAAGTGAGCACCCAACAAAGAGGTTAACTGAAAATTTAGCTTGTGTTCCCTTTTTAATCACTGTGCTCAGCCCTTTCAGGTAGTGATCCACAGGGACTCAGCACCACTCCTAAATCCCTAAAGCATTTTGGCCTTGTAACTGGGGGTGGCTGTGGGACCCTCAGGATGGGATGAGGAGTAAGGGAAAAGGCAGGGATGCTCAGAGGCCCTGAGGGTTGTGTGTGCCTAGGAATAGGCAGCCTGGCAGAGCCCTAAGTTCTCTTACATACTCATGAACCTCTGTGCTTTCCTAACGGGAAAGGATTTGTTCCTGTCTTCTGAAAAATAACTGAGCTTTTCCTCGGCTTCCATAAGAGCAGGTCTGGGAGTGAAGTTTATATAAAGGGAACTGCTGTGCACGTGGGTATTTTGTCCACCTGGGCTTGTGTTGGTATATGAATCAGTACTTGCTTTGTATTAAAGGCATGAGAGGGTCCTGAGCTTTGGATCCAGCCTTTCCCAAACACAAAGTTATGGGTTTGATCCCTGCGTGGGACTCGATTCTCTGTGTCCCTTTGAACTCGGAGTATTCTGTGATTCTGTGACGTGTCTGCAGCAGTACTTTGGCAAGGGACAAACAAAGCCCAGATCCGCACCAGGCTGTCCCAGCCCTGTGCGTGCTGGGGGAGATGTGGTGTATCTTGTGACTGCTTCTGGCAAACAAGTCTGTCTGGCCATGCTAAGGAATCTTGTCTGGGTGCTTTTGTTGACTGTTTTCAGCCCTGAAACACCTGGGTGTGCAGTATCCCTGCTGTCTGTGCCTCCAAACCCCTGTGCCTTGGGCGTGCAGTCCCAGGTGAGAATGGTGGAGCAGCCTTAAAAGTGCCTCCTCTGGGTGCTGGGGGGACCTTGGGCAGCCAAGAGACACAGCCACTGGCACCTGCTGCAGATGTGCAAACTGCATCTGTCTGGGTTCTGCTGCTGTGTCCAGAACTGTGATGGGGCAGCTTCAAACGACAGCTTACGGGGACAGTGCTCTCTGCTCCTCAGCAACCAGCTGGCTGGAGCAGCTGCTCTGTTCCATCTTTTTGGGAGAATATGGTAGCAGCTGCCAATGTATTCTTGGGTTGTCAGTGAAGAGGTGCCCATATTGGAGGGCGAAGCATTATTGCTCCTGTACAATCCCAGTTTCGGTAAAACCAGGTGGGTTGGAGGTAAATATGGAGTTCCTCTGTCAAACATAAGTAGGAGCTGAAATTCATGTATTTGAAGTGCTATGAGTAATCCTGTGCCCTTCTGAAGGGATACTTTTTTTTGCTGAAAAACGAGTGACTTGCAATGGATTCCCACAGCACTAGTTGGATACGTGACAAGGAGATCATAGAAAAGGTCACCCTTGGTTTGAAACGAAGGCAGTGAAAAATGAGTGTCTTGTACTGGAGATTGTTGGCCAACTACTGCAGTCCTACTTTTCTATTTTTAAAACTCTCTCACTAGCTGCGATGTGACCCTTCCCTCCACACCCACAGCAGAAAAAAGCCCCTACTGATTAGAAACAGGAAATAATAAAACTCACTAACCACAAAGTATTTTCAGACACAAAATAAACAAGCAGAAATGGTGAGAAGTAGATATTTTCCACTGATCTCTTTTCAGCACGGTAACCATAGCTGATAATTATAGTCACTGGGGATTTACAGCTTTTAGAGGGAATGTATGTTTTTAAGTTGATGCTGTCAAACTGAAGTAAAATATTTTCATCACAGCCTCTCCCAGCATAACAATAAGGTGGCCACAAGTGTCATGAGGTGCATTATTGACACCATCTAGAAGTAAGAGAACACTTCAGATCTTATCCTGGGCAGGGAGCTGCTCCTCTTGTCACTCCCACTGGTGTTCAATGGAGTTTCCTCTGGTGAGTACAGCTGTGGGGGATTTTATGGGGTACAATTTTTATCTAAACTCAGCAACATGTGTCATAATAAACTGGGAAGGTCTTTAATGTCTTTTGTCTTCCAGGATTTTGTGGTTTGCTCTGCCTGACAGTTTTCTCCACCTGTGAGTGTTCTGTGCCCTTTTCTCCAGTGGTTTGCTTGGGGTGGCTCCAGCTCCCAACCCTCTGGATCTTTGCAATGGGATATTGTGTATTTTCCACATTGAGGGCCATTCTGGAGGTTCCCATCAGCAAAGGGGGAAGTCCAAGCTTTCAGGCAGAGGATAGGAACTGAGATTAAGGTAAGATCTGTACAGTTCTATGCCTTTACCTGACTTCTGACCCCATGGTTGAAGAAACCTGCCTTGCCTCCTTGCAGCTATGTGTAGGCCAGTTGTTTCTCCTACCACCCTTATGCCATTGCTCCTAATGGCTCTTCAAGGGGGCTGGATAAAAAGGAAAGCTTCACAGAAAAAGATGCTAAACCCAGAGGTGCCGGTTTTCACTCCTTAGGCACCTCATCAAATAGATCTCGCTGCATAATGAGCCCCTCTGAACTGCGGGTCCATTCATTAGTATGCGTGGTGTTTGTTTAAGAGCTCCCTGTTCTTTTATTTTAACTGCGAGGAGCTTTTAACTGTCTTTGAGATGAAAAACAGGGGACCAAATGTTGCCAGCAAGTGAGCAGATTTGTCCCAGTCTCTGTGGTCCAATTTGCAGGAAATTTTACCTTCTGCCCTTTAGATGATCTTTGTGATTCACTTATAAGTAAAATCCAGGCTGATAAACCCAACTCCCCGTTTCTTTCATGACTTTTTAATTGTTGCTGTGATCCAGGTGATGCTCTGTGTGTGTGTGGTGCACACTGCTTTCCTACAGAGCATCAGGAGCAAAACCCAAACCAGCTCTTTCAACTGCATCGGGGAAAAAATGTTTGTGAAAGAAGAAAACAAACGCAGATGCTCGAGTACTGTTTATTCAGGGCATACAGGACAAGGCAGGGAAAAGTATCAGTCGTGATCTTCCAAAAGTTTATTTAGATCTTTCAGTTAAGGAAACAAGCAAAAACAAATCCCTAAATATAACTATATGTTACATATTTATACATATACAAACACATAGCTCCTTAGTTTAAGAGCGATGTCAGGGTCTAGGTGGCTGGGAGCAGCACAGCCAGAGTGAGCAACCGAGAGAGAGTTTCTAAACAGCATAAAAAGTCCAGACCAAGTCTCTCCCTTTCTCTTTTTTTTTTTCCTAACCAGTGCAGCATTTTTACAGGAATCAACACTGGAGTCTCCTACAGCTGCACAGAGGTAATAATAAAAATAAAAAGCAGAAGAGATCTGCTTACCCCCTTATTCCAGCAAAGTGATCTCAGTGGTTTATGTGAGATCTGAGAGGTAACTTTAATGCCAGAAAGGGTCAATGCCTGTCATCTTGTATTTTTATTAATAGGAGGTTAATTATTTTAGAACATAAGACAAGAAAACTCTATAATTAATATAAGCTAAAGATCATGAGAGGATTCTATACAATAATTTAGATGTATTAAATAAATAAAAAATAATAGCAGCCTTCTACAATGCAGGCTACACATAGGTTTACTTCGGCTTGAAGTACCCTGGTCTTTAGTACACCTACAGGAACAGACTTGCTCCACAAGTGTTTTAAAGAAACATATCTATAAGATACATACGTAAGAGTGTCTAAGGTTAGGATAAAAATTGAAAACACGCTTTACCATGGTCTCCACATATCTAATGACCCCATTCTAGGGTTGTTATGGGAAAAATTTGGCTGCAGAACCTGTCTGGGAGGTGCAGCATCAACCTGGTTGAAAACTGACATCAACGGCCCCTGGAAGGAATTTTTGGAAGCCTGCTTGTTCTCCGCAGGGTAAAGGCGCTCCTGGGCCAGGTTTGTGCCCCGAGTGCTCCCCTTAGGGCTCAGGGGACCTTTTGGTGTCAAGAGAGGCTGTTGAGATGGGCTGGAAGATCTCAGTGCTGCCTTGCAGCTGTCTTCACCAGACCTGGGCAAGGATTTCAGCAGGTGGTTCAGCAGGCGCGCCCCAAGGCTCTTGTCCATCCACTCGCAGGTGAGAAGGAGGTTGTGCACCTCGTGCATGCACTGAATGTACCCAGTGCTGTACCTCTGCTGGGCTTCCAGACCCACTTTGGAGTCAGCTGTATTGGAGAGGAGACAAAGGGGACTTGGTGAGAGGTAAGAGCTGAACCTTCACCAGATTTCCTGGGGGGTTTCTGGGGGACTCAGTCTGAAGACACTGGACTTTACTAGAAGATAACTCGTTTGCAGGGAGAAGGCGAGCAGGGCGTGAGCCCCAGCGCTCTGCTGTTTACTGCAGAGGCAAAACTACGCCAAAAAGCAGAAATAGGCCCGGGAAGGAAAAAGCACCTTGCCCGAATTAAGCAGTGCCCAGCTCCATCTCCCCATCTAGTGGAGAAAGCCGAACCCAGGCAGCAGCGCGGGCCTTGGCTGCTTTGAACGATGCTTTTGCCAGTCTGGCAGCGAATCAAACCTGCTGCTACCCTCCTGCCCGGCACGAGCACTCACCCATCATCTTGCTGCTCTGGATGTTCTGGAGGTGCTTCACCGTCATTTCGAGGATGTCTGCTTTTTCCAGTTTAGACTGCTGATAAGGAAAGAGAGCAGCAGTTAGAGGCAATGAAGGGTTTGCAGCCATGCCCAGTTTCTCACAATATGAGACACCCTCCCCACCCCCCAATTTCCCACTAACAAAAGGACAAAAAGCAGCATAAAAATGAGCACTTACATCCAGGTGAAATGCTCCCACAACTGTCTCCTTCAGCTGGTCTAAGCAGTTATTAATCCTTTCCCTTCGCTTCCGCTCAATGAGGGGTTTCCTTAACTGCCAAAGAAAAGGAGCAGGAAAATTGCAGTTGGTATTTTTTTTCTTCCTCTCCCTGCTGCAGTTCAGTGAGGTCAGAGAGTCCCATCGCCTGTGTGAAGCCAGCGTGGGGTGACACAGGGCTCAGCAGGGACAAGATGAAGATGGATTTGTACCATCTTCAGCCATGGCCTGTCCCTTAGTTCGCATCAGCTCTCAATTCTCCCACTTTCACTCATTTTATGCAGGGTTCACCCAAACAAAACAGAGAGAAGCAGAGAAAGGAAGCAGGAAAAAAAGCAGCCACGTGGGTTAATTTCATAGAACACAGCCTTATAATATGAGGAAAACAACTGTCCCCCTCTTCTTTCCTGGAAACAGAACCCGTAGCCCCAGCACCCATCATTCCCATGCCTGGTGCTGCTGCAGCAGCAGCGCAGGGTGCACGTACCTTCCTCTCCTCCTTGGTGCTGGCGAGCTTGTGGGTGCTGCCCGGGGTGGCTGTGGCGGTCATTCTAATCCAGGCACGGGGTGGGAAGGAGGCACTCGGGCAGTGGGTCGCTCCGTTTCCAGTTGGGCTCTTTGCTGCTCCGCCGCTCCTCTGCTGTATTTATAACCCCGAATTAGCATGTGAAAGGGAACTGTCCTTGGCGGGACTTCTTTTCCCACACGAGGGGTCGAGCCCGGAGGTTTGTGGCCATCAATCAAAGCTGACAGGTCACTGCTTCTTTTCAATGAGCACGCCAGCCCCCCCAAACGGCGACAGATGTCCGGCCTCCGACGCTGGGCTTTGGAGGGATCTTTTGTTAGGGAAGAAGGGAAGGAAAATGGGCGCGCTCTGAGCAGCTTGCACGGCTCCTCGTTCAATTTGCACAGATTCCCAGGGAGGGAAACAATAGCCGGGAAGCGGTTGAGTTACACCTGGGAAAATGCCTTCTCCTCATCTTTTTCCACTCTATCTCCTTGAAGTGATGCCTGGTTTTACCTGCTAACCTGACCCCATCCATTTCACATCTTTGAAACAGCCTCTTAATTTAATAATAGAGTACTTGAGCTAGGAGTTCCCGCTCCCAGGGATTATTATTACAAGGAAACGATGATCGATTAAAAACTGTTGACAGCTGGTTGTTTCCATCACAGAACTCCTCTAGGGCAAACACGGGAACTTTATTTACCTCTTGGGAACCTGAATTCTCTGTTGCACATGGGCAGATATAGGAAATATGTAACTCTTCTAGTTTTTGGCTGCCGTGTAGAATTTAATATTAAACTGACAGGCTGTTGCAGATGTGAACTAACCCAGAAGTGAGTTAGTCCTGTGGGATTTTCACTTTGATTTTTCCCCCCACCGTGCTGAAGGGGGCTTGTCTGTTCTCTCCTCTGGAATGCTGGTGCAGGAGCAGAGAGGCCTTTGGAGGAGGTTTGGCGCAGAGTGAGAACGCACTTCTGTACTTCCTCACTTCTGCCCAGTTTGGGGGAGAGTATAAAGGTGCTTTTCATGACCGTACATTTGCTTTCTGGTGGTTGCTTTGCTAATGAGCAGGATTTGGCAGTGTGCTGTTGAGTCCGGCAGGTGAAGCCCTTCGGGTTGGTGTCGAATGTGTCACCTTATTGAAGTGGAGAGGAAGGGGCCTCAGGGGCTCAGAAGCACCGCCAGCCCTCCCAATTTGCTGGTGGGATTTTCCAGCTCCCAGTGTGGTGCTGTGGCTGCAGAGCCCTCACCCACTCAAGGCGAGGGTGGGATGTACCCCAGTGATAAAAGCAAGGACTTCACGTCCCTTGCTCAACCACAGCGTGGGTGTGTGTGTGTTTGCTTGTCTGTAAATGCAAACGTGCAGCATGTCTGCACACCCTGCTGCCCGGGCTCATCATGGAAACACGTCCCCAGACGTGGAATCTGACAGGCAGAGGCTGTTTGTCGGTCAGATGCAGAGCTGGGGTGCAGTTACCTGGTTTTATAAGTGCACTACTTGGCAGAGGCCTGGGACGAGCTGGTGTGGTTGTTGTGCAGGGAGAGGAGAGCTGGGAGGGTGAGGTTAATAACTTGTCCTTTGTGCCAGATAAAGGGAGCAGGGATGGGCCCCTTATCTCAGGTGTTTCCTCTGCAAAGACAGAGAAAGGAGGTCCCACTGCCCTGTGTGGGAGCCTCTCACATCAGCCAGCCCTAGTGGGCCACCAGTGAAGACTCTTTTGGTTTTCCAAGATTTTTCCAGCCCAGCTGAGCATGGCAGAGTTGTCAGGAAATGCAAAATTACCGAAAAATCCCTAAAAGCATGTCCTGTGCCTGTTGGCACCCCTCCTTGCATGGGTATGGCTATAATGGGCTGTATGCCCCCCCTATTAGTGGTCCCAGAGTCTGGCCATGTGTCCCCAGTGCTGCAATGAAAGGTCTTTCTGGTCTCTGCAGTGGCTCTTTCCTCCCTCTTCTCTCTTCCTTCCCTTCTTGGCCTTCACTTGCTGCTTCTGCTTCCTTTATCCTATGGGCTGCTGCTGAGGTCTGGGGTCAGTGGGAAGCTCCATGAGACCATGATGCAAGCTGGTGGCAAGGCTCTGGGCCCAGGGGACAGCTGGGTGGGAGGGGAGGGCACGAGCAGCATGGTGGCCCCCGGTGCCCAGCCACAGCCTGTGCCCAGCCCACGCAGGGCGAGCCCCCTGGCTTGCCCACGGGCATCTGCTCCGGGTGAGCTCATTTCAAGGTTCATTTGTAAGACAGCACCACAGTGAAAAAGAAGAGCAGCTTGTGCTGTAAACAGTTATTTTACACCTCTCAGTCACGGCAAAAGCCTTTATTTTGGAGGCGGGGAGTGCGGGCGGGAGAGCTGCCCTGGCTTTGGGGAAGGCCGACATCTGTGCTGGGGATTGTAGGTACCCAACAGGCCAATGCAAATGAGCATTACAGGGAGCTTTCTGCAAATTCCTGCTTCCCTTTTGCACTGCCACTGCCAGGTTTCACTGAAAAGGGGATTCTCCTTTGTAAACAAAGCCTCCTTCTTTTTTTTTCCTGGGCTTTCCAAGGGAAAAAAAAAAAAAAAAAAAGGAAAGAGAAAGGGGTGAGCGCTGCTTAGAGTTTTCTTTTTTGCTATTTGTCTACGTTTCACAACCCGGAGAAAGAAAACAACTTTTAACATCTGTTCCTGCACTTTTTAAGAGGGAAAGAAAGGCTCTTGAAAAGGGGGAAAGTGTGGCAGATGTTGGCAGGTTCCCTCCAACGCAGATGTCTTTGCTCCGAAGAAAACTTTCTTTGGGGATTGGCGGCCAGGGCTAATCTTTGACTCGGGACACGCGACTGCCGAGCGAACGGAGGGACGTGGGAAAGCGCCGCCGAACAAAGGGGCTTATTCAAACAAACCTGAGAGCCGTGAACAATCTAATAACCAGCAGAGAAATGGTCAGCGGCCCCGGCCCCAACAGGGAGGGCTTCGGGGCAGCCGGTGGCCACGGGACAAGGGAGTTTGACCGCGTCCCCAGGGCTGCAAGCAGGGGTGTCACTTCCTTGCCCCCAGCCTGCTCCCTCTGGGGGATCCAACGCAGGGCTTTGGCCAAGGACCGTCATTCTCGAGGTGCTGAATGGTCTTGGCTGCCCCGCGGCGACAGCAGAGGAGATGGAGGGCAGTTGGGCTGGGCTGGGCTGGGCTGGGCTGCCCAGCCAAGGCAGCGTGAGAGGAGTGACTGTTGGATAGCAGGGATGTCTTTGGTTAAGCTTTTAAAAAAGAGGTTCTGCCAAGGTAATAAAAAAACCCCAGTACTACTGATTAGGACCAATTGAAAGAGCCTTGTGAAACTGATTTTGATAGGAAAAAAGTGCTTTCTTTAATTGAAAGCAAAAATGTTGAGAGAAAAAAGGTATTTTCTGTAAACCTTTCATTCCCTTTCTTTCTGGTTGATAATACATTTTAAAATAAGTTTTTGCCATGAAAGCTGGTAGTATTTCAGCTTAAGCACTTCATAGGAAAAAAGGGAGAAGCCCAGAGAAAAGGGAGCAGAGTCAAGAAGATTCACACAAGAAAGTAACTCATTCCAGTTTGCTGTTACAGCTGAAGAGCTCTGTGATCGTTCCTCTAATTCCTCCAAGTTTTTGTTCTGCCTCATCTCTGTCCAAGTGCATTTTCTCTGGACTCTGGTCAGGGCACAGCCTTCCCTGCCAGCAAGGCTGCCTTGTGCTGGGACAGCTCTGCCTCTTCCCTGCTCAGGACTGGAGGGGAAAGCCCGGTGAGATGGAGCTGTGTTGCTTCTTTGGAGGTCAAGTGCTGGGGCAAGCAGCCCAAAACGCTGCTGTGGGTGTCCCCTGTGTTTCTCCTGACAGCAGAGTCCTCCCTGCGTGGCAGTTGGAAAGCAGGAGCTGTCTCAGCTGGCCTGAGGAGCCCCGTGCTGCAGGTAGGATACTGCATGTCCCCAGAGACACGAGCACCTGCCCAGGCTGGTTCCTTCTGCCTCTCGCAGTTTGGGGTGATGCTGTGGACACCAACTCACAACCTGACAGGACTAACCAGGGGGCCTGGGCAGCACTGGGGCAGACCCAAGTCCAACCTAGGCCGTGACTGGTTAATGAATGGCCTCCTTAACGCAGATGAGCCTTTTGCAGGGATGGATTTGCTGTGGGAGAGGGGGAGGAGAGCTGAGCAGGTGCTCCTGAGCACTGCTTAGTCTGCTGCATGTGTGGGTCATAGCAGGACTACTTGATCCCCTCTCCTTTCCAAGCTGGAGAGCATCCAGGCTGGATTTGCCCTTAGTTAAGTGACTGCTTGCCCTTCCTCTGGGGTGTCTACTGGCTGGGTGTGAGAGCATAGGTGCCTGGCCCTGGGAGTGCTGGTGAGCAGGTGTCAGAGGAATGGACAGGGTGCTCCAGGGGTCCTGCCCCATCCAGCATTTCCAGCTGTCTGTGGGTTTGCTGGGGCTGGTTTTATGACAGCAGCTCTGTTTTCAGCACGTGCAGTGATGTGGGGTTTGTGGAGTGAGGAGCAAAGCGTGGGTTTGGGAGCAAGAAGGGTAAGGTGGGGGCAGCCACTGCTGCCAGCATGGGGAGTGGGTTGGCCCTGATGTGAAACCACAAGGCATCCTGTACACCCTGCATTCCCTCCCTCTGGTCAGGCTCCAGACCCACCTTGCTGTGAGCAAACACTCTCCGAGGAGAGGCTGTTTTACAGGGGCTTTAGTCATTCTGAATAAAGAGGGGTTTGTCCAGCTTTTTTCAGAAGGTCAGTTCTGGCTCAAGGTTTGAGGTTTAAAAATGAGAGGTAAAGCTCTCCTTCAAAAGGTTTAAATCTGGATGCTTCTCAATAGCTGTCAATCCCAAGCACCCCTGAGTCACCAGGGGTGGTTTGCTTTGCTACCAAAATGTTACAGCGGGAGAGGAATGTGAGAGCAGCAGGACGTGCCAGCGTGGTGACTGGATGTGCCGGGTCCGGAGGGTGCAGGCGGTGCCTGGGCGGGCAGTCTGGCTCCCGGCACAGAGGCACCTCAGCCACAGTCTCCTGGGGATTACTCACTGCTGGATGGCCTGGGGGCACCAGGGCTACACCTCCAGACTGGCCTCAGTTTGGTACATTGTCCCTGCCATGTCCCACCTGCAGCAGGGTCTGGAGGGGGACCACGTGTCCCACCAGGATGGATAGTGCTGGAAAAAAGCTGGGGTAAAAAAGCAGGGGATGATTTAGTTGTGCTTGGGGCCTGGAGAAGAGCACTTGCAGTCATTAGCTGTGTTCAGGAGAATGGGCTGAGGGCACAGCCTCAGTGAACAGATGCCACCCCCAGTGGGATGTGGGGCCAAGAGCACCATTAGAGCGTGCAGGAAGGGGAGCCATGGTTGTGCTGGGGAAGGCTGCTCCAAAGACCTGTTGTGTTGGAATCCTTGGGGCTGGGGTGACACTGTCTGTACCAGGTCATCGTTCCTGGCAGAGTGCTGGGCAGTGATGGGGTTTGTGGCTGGGTGAGAGTTGTGGTGAGTGGGGAAGAGGCACAGGGGATCTGGCAGATGAGTTTGATGTCTATGGTAAGTGATGGCCTATCAAGGCAATATTGTGTGCAATATCCTGTGCAACTCACCATAGTGTAGGCAGGGGTAGGAGTGCAGTTGAAGGTTCACCTGCTCCAAAGACATTTAGTGGAGAGAGGTCATATATAACACTGGACAGTGCTACATGCAGTATTCCATCATAGAGAAAATCCATCTCTAAAAGTAGCACTGGACATCTGGAAATTCTGTTGACATCTCTCACCTCCTTTACCGAGTACACCAAACCTCCCTGGCCCCAGCTCAGCCTCCTGGGTACCAGCTGACTCTACCAACTTCAGGAGTGAACTCCCGGGATAGGAAATAATTACAAGGCTGGTACCAGCTGAGTAATTCTCAGCTTTTCTTTCACACACCCCCATCCAGCCTTCGTGTTAAGGATTGGCTGATGCCCCTGCCATTGCTCAAGCTATCTCTCACCTGGCAGGTTAGCAGCTGGTAACCCCCACAGCCCTGCAGGAAGCCTTACCTGCTGCTTTGCAGCCAGAAAGCTGCAGCTTGAGACACAGCTCATGGCCCAGAAGAGTCATATAGGAAGAAGAAAATCTGATAAGCTGTGTGGGTGGTGACAGGCTGATGAGGGTTAGCCCCTTGCCTGTGCCAAAGTGGTGGCAGGAGTGAGAAGAGCTAAACTTCACAAAGATGGCATAGGGGGCTTGGAGGGAGCATTCGAGGGGGTACTCAAACTTTCCTTATGTGGCATCCCAGGAGTTACTTCATTCAGGAAGGCAGCCCTGGGTATTCTCACACTCTGTGAGACGTTACCAGATGTCACCTGATAACAAACCTGATCTATAATGTAGCAAATGCTTGGTTTATTCAGAAAGATTTGCTTTCACAGCAGGGTGGGTGCCTGACTCCCCAAACATTGGGACCTGGGGCTCAGCATCCTGTACCCCATCCCTGCACATCCCACACAGCCTGTTTCTTCTTAGCTTCTCAATTCTCAAGGCCACAGAATTGCTTGTGTTAAGTTTTACCTTTGTGAGAAAAACATCCCTTCTGTGAATAAATGCAGCTTTTGTCCTGGCTTGGCCATGCACCAACACTTCCTTTTTATAGCATGTGTGTATACGTGTACTGACACCACATCCTGACCCCCTGACACAAAACACCTTGTCAGCATGAATGAGGCAGCAAGGCCAGTCATCATCCATGCTCTGCAGGGAGGGTGATCTGCAGCCCTCCTGCCCATGTGCTGTCCTTGGCCCTGGCTGGCTGGGTGCAGGGCTGCTGCTGCAGGGGCAGTAGGACAGCCCACGGGGGCACCAGGCTTACCAGAAGCATTTCCTGCCAGCTGCCTGTTTCTGTTGCTGCAGGGCTGGGGTTGCAGCACCTGAGGAAGTGGGGAAACACTCACTTGGGTGTTTTTTTGCACTTGCTGGTTCAATCTTGGCACAGCCGGCTGCTGCTGTGACAGTAGAAACCATGAGGGTTTAGGAGTGGAGGGCATGAGCCCCAGAGTCTCTGGTCCTTTGAGCCCAGACCATCCTGGGTTGTATGTAAAATCTCATGATGCTCTCTAAGCTATTTTTTTTGCATCTGTATTTTTGTAACTAATTTTTTACCAATTAAAGCAAAAAGTTTTATACTGCTTTTTTTGTTTACAAATACTGTCTGATTTAAACCATTTCTCCTATTTAATTTCTTTACCTAGGAGACTATTTTTTATTACAGGGATGAGCATTTCTTATTCCTCTGGAGGAACCAAAAGGTGTGGGAAGTCCAGGGGCGTAATCACTTGTGGGTAGGTAAGCCAGGGCCCTGGCAGGATGAAGAACAGCCAGGACCTGTGAGAAGGTGGGTCACACTCCATAGGCCGGGGTCTGGGAAGGGGAAAAGCAGTTTGCACTTGTTTTGGCTTCTCCATAATGAGGCATGTAAAAATACTAACAACCCCCCTGCTATCACAGCCCTTTTATTCTTTCTTGTCTATTTTTAACATTAGGAGCTGTACCTTGGGTTTGCTCTGTCAAATTAAAAAGAGTCCCTGACATACCTGAGCTCCCTAGTTTTCCAGAATAATACTTGCATCTAGCTGGGTGTCTTACTGTGTTTCCAAGGGGATGTTTCCTCCCATCTCCCCATTCCAGGTACGGGTGTGTATACACGTGGAGACAGTGATGCACCTTCACAACTGCACACTGACAATTTTCAGAAGATACAATTTTGCCAGAGAATGTAAATAAACTCTCTTTTGGAGATGTATCCTGCTGAGCGGGGGGTGGGGGGTGGGGGGGAAGGAGCTCAGCCCTTCCCCAAAGCAGTGCTTGATTGAAGGTGGGGACAGGCAGAGCTCTGGGGTGCCCTCCTCCTCAGGAGCCAGGGATCTCATCAGGAGAAGGAGGAGAGGCCCCGAAAAGCTTTGGAGGGTCTCAGGGAAGGTCCCTGTATGTATTTGCTAGAGTGGCTCAACACAGTTTTGTGTGTCAAGAGATGTGACAACGGCTCCTGTGTTAGCTCAGCCCCCCAGCAGCTGAGCCCCAATCCCGCTGAACAGCAGCACTAAGCTCCTGCCCTTCAGTGCAGCACGTTTCTGCTGGAAGAGCTAATTAATTAGTTTCTGCAAAGCCCCTTGAAGGGGTAAAGGGCTAAGCAAGTGCATAGCATAGTTATTCAGAGGGTGTGAGCTTCAGGGCTTAATGGGCGCTACTTAAATATGAACTGAGTTAGTAACCTTGGTTTGCAATTTCTTTATAATGTAAAAGAACAAGGAAAGCATCTAAGAAAAACCCCCACCACCAGTCATTTTCAGCAGTGTTCACAGCCTCGTGTCTTTCTGCATGATTTGGGATTTGTCGTGTATTTGCTTCCAGTTCTATCAAATTAATGGATGTATTTATTTGACTGGGAGGTTGTTTGTTCGTTTGTTTGCTTGTTTTAGCTCAGGAAATATTTTCTACTACAGTGCTGTTTTTCAGGGTGACTTCTGTTAATTCCTTTCATGTTTACCATGCTGATGGAAACCTGGTTTTGATATTAGTAGTAGATTCTCCCTGAAATGGATGCTGCGCTTTGTAGATAGCTTTCAATTGTTCCACACTAACTAAAACTTTATTAAAAGGACTTGCTCTCCAGGAAAGGAATTTGCAACGGATTTTTTTCCTATGATTCTTCTGGCAATTGTTTTTCTTTTCTGACAATGGGGGAAACATAGTTTCAGGGGCAGTCACAGGCACTTTTGTATCCTGGTGATGAAATTCAGCTACTGCAGCTTGGTCCAAAGTCCACAGAAAGACTCGGGATTCTTGTTCTGCCAGACTTGAAGTAGAAGACATTCAGCATAACCACTCTTGCCTCTGCTCCTAATAGTTCCTCCCAAAGCCTTTCCCCTGAAACACCCTGTCAGGAACAAGGAACCCGGGCTCTGGTCTGCAAGCCACACCAGTCCATGCCCATGCCCAGTTAAAACATTAATTGGATGTTGGTTCTGTTCTTTCCTCCTTGTATGTTTGTCCAGACAGCTGACAAGATGACCCAGATTATTTTCTCAGATGATTTGTGTCGTGCCTTTTCAGATGGCCATGCAGGTGACAGAGGAGCACCTCTATCCCATCTCATGGTGAGGGGGGACCTGCTGCCACAGCAGGATATCAGGGAGAGGAGGAAACACCCTTCAGTGGGAAAGGGCACGTGTGTCCTTCTGAATTACAACCCTGGAAAAGAGGAGAGATAAAACAGGCAACGGATTACTGGGCCTCATGGAGAGCCAAGGGCAGCCAACCCTGGAGAGTCAGCTGCTGCCACAGCATTCCATGTGGGCACAGCCACTCTGCAGGAGGTACAGTTCAAAGGAAGAAAAGAGGTGAGCAAAACAGAGCTGCTTGAAGGAGGATTAATTTCACAGGCTGACATATTGTTTTTCCCCACTTTTGCCATTTGTTGGTGTGGGATGGTGGTGAGAGGAGCTGGAGCTGAGCTGCAGGGCTCCTTGGGCCTCCCATCAGCGACAGAAAACCCCAGGATCACATTAGGCTTTCTGTCCCTCCTGAGCAAAGGACCTGCATGCTTGCCTTTCTAACTATGTTTTTTTTTTTTTTTTTCCAGTGAAGTAACCTGGATTTTCAAAGTGTTTTTTTTTTCCATGTTTACTCACTTCCTAATTTGCAAAGATTAATTAATTCACAATGGATGTCTCAGTCATGGCTGCGAATTAGTGAATCGTTAATGTACTAAGAGCTCTCTCATGTGCTGAATTTAATTCCTGCTTCTGAGAGCTTAGAAAAATCATGCTCTCAGTGCTGAGGGATTTTTCCCTGCAGTGTGTAGGGATGGTAATTGCACTGAACCCGTTTCTTGCATGATCTCTTTTCCAATGGTCATTTGTAGTGTCTATTTGCCAGGAGCTGGTGTTGAATCCCTGTACCAGTGCTTGCCTTTAACTCCTTCTTCTCTCTGTTCAGTACCCTGAATATTATCTGTTTAAATTTGGGTGTTTTTAACCTAATTATGGGTTAACAATTTGAACTGCCAACATTTTGCTAACTTCACACTGTGGGTGCAGGTGAGCTTGGGAAGGTCCTGTCACCTCAAACCTGCCTGCTTCAGGTCCAGGGTTGCTGCATCTCTTACATCTTTATATAACAGCAAGTAGATATTTGGGGGATATAAGGAACTATATATTGTATTACATATACTATATTGCAGGGATGGCTGTGATCAGAAGCATTTTTCCGTGCCTGAGCTGTAGCACACAGCTGACTTAGATGGCTGGTCCAAGAAGACCCCCAAGAGGTCAAGAGGCAGCTTTGCCCACTGACACCACTTGCCCTCAGTACAGCAAAGCAGGGAAGTACAACACATGGAATTCAGAGCTGCAACTGCTGCTTGCAGGAAAACATTACTGCATAGAGGAGCCCGGCCCAAACCCTCCCCAGCAATGTGACAAGGAAGTGCAGAAGGGGATGTGGAGACACGCAATCAAAAAGAAGCTGAAGACAGAAGCTGTCAGCTCACAAGGAGCTCACAGACATTTTGGGAAAGCAGGCCAGCAGGTCCCACACTGCTACATGGTGGGATCGCAGCAGACCCGCTGGGATGAGGTTTTGCCTCATGGCTTGTAAGACATTAATGACAAGTTCCATAAAAAATGTATTTTTCTTTTTTAAACATTGTGTACTATGCCACACTAATGGACAATATCAGCTTGTTCTCTGCTGGGAAAGGTGTGGGCTCTTCTCAATCCAGGCTAATCTGCATTTGTCACTGTGACAGTAATAGATGAGTATTATGTACAGGACACAAAAACAGCCCGGAGCCCTTCCGTGCTGCAATGGGAACTGCAGAAAACCTCCAGGCTGTAATTCACCAGCACCTGATGCACCGGCACCGGATGCATCACAACGCTCAGCCCATGTCCAAGGCACAGTGCTGAGTCCAGACTCCACACAGGAGCCCTGAGGGTCACGACATGGGAAAGGAGCTTTGTGACAGTGCACAGGGTGAGGAGGGTCTGCAGGAGGGCAGGGCAGAGAGGGGGATAGGGGGCAGTAATAATGAAAAAGAACAATAAATGCAAATTATAAATCAGTAAATACCAAATAATAAATTTAAACAATAATTGATTAAAAAAAATACTGAGTACTAATAAAGAATAAAAGAATAGGCTGCGCCTGGGGTTTTGCGTTCAGCTTTGGGCCCCTCACTTTAAAATGGAGCGGGTCTAGAGGAGGACAACAGGGCTCGTGAAAGGTCTAGAGAACCTGTCTTATGAGGAACACCTCAGGGAGCTGGGTTGGTTTAGTCTTGAGAAAAGGAGGCTCAGGGGGGACCTCATGGGTCAAACAACCATCTGAGAGGAGGCTGCCGTGAGGTGGGGCTGGTCCCTTCTGCCCTGCCTGCAGGGACAGCACAAAAGGAAGCGGCCTTAAGCCGAGACAGAGGAGATTCGGATCAGACAGCACAAAATTTTTTTTCCCTCTTAGTTTGTCCAGGCATTGGAATAGGTTTCCCAGGGAGGTGGTGGGGTCGCCGCCCCTAGTAAGAGGAGTCTGGATGTGGCACTGGGCGATGTGGTTCAGGGGTTACACTGGTGGACGGCTGCACTGGACGATCCTAAAGGTTTCTTCCAACCTCGAGGATTCCACGATTCTAATACAGAAAAAAATAAAACAACCTGCGAACAGTAAAACGACAAAACAGCGAAGGCGCGGGATGGGCCGGGCGATACCGGGTCCGCCCCCGGGTCCTCCGCGCCGGCAGGGGGCGGTGCGGGGCGCGGCGGGCGGAAGCGCGGGCGGGGGCCGGGCCGGAGCGGAGCGCGGGGAGCGGAGCGGGGCGGGGGGACGGGCCGGGCCGGGCCGGGCGAGCGGGGCCGCCGCTGCCGCACCGACAGCCGGAGCACAGCGCCCAGAGCCGCCAGGGCGGGCCCGCCCGCCGCGCCGCAGGTACCGCCGGGCGGAGGGGGCCGCGGGCATTGTCCGGAGCGGGGCCCGGCCGTGCCCTGCGGGCGGCACGGCCCGCGCGGTGCCCGCCGCGCTCCCGGCCCGCTCCCCGCTGGCTGCCGGGGGGGACCGGCCGGGCCGGGCGCGGCCGGGCCGGGGTGGGTGCCGCGGGTGCGGGGCAGCCGTGCGGGGAAGGGCACGGCCGGGGCTGCGCCGCCCGAGAGGCAGCGCCGCGGTCCTGGAGCTCTCCCAGCGCCGGGCCGGGAGCGCTCGTCGGGGAGCGGCGCGGGGGGATCCCCGGAGCGGCCGGGCCGCCCCCGGGGCAGCGCCGGTCCCGGCACGGCGGCAGGGCCGGGCCGGGGGCTCTTTGTTACGGCCGTGGCCGCGCGGACCGGCCCGGGCTGCGGAGCCGGCGCGGCCTCCCGGGGTCCTGGGCTGAGGCCTCTTCCTACAATTGTTGTTCCCGTTGGGAGCCCCGATGGGCCTCTGCAGCAGGAGCCGTGCGAGGGGGCTGCTCGGAGCCTGTTTTCCTTCGGACTGCCCCATACGGAGCTAACACAGCATGTTAAATAGCAGAAAAAAAGTTTTGTCTCTTTTTTTTTTTTCCTGTGTAATACAACCGGTACTGAAATCAGGATGTACCCAGTGCTGGTGGCTTTTTAAATTTTTTTTTTTTTTTTTTTTTTTTTTTCATTTTAATTTTTGGTGAGGGATCACGTAGGTACTCACGATTTATTTAAAATATGGGAATGGTGTGATTTAATTTGCATGATGAGTCAAAGATTAAATTACATGACCGAGGCTCTTCAGTTTCAGTGAGGTAAGTAACAATATGTGGAAGAACAGTTTTGGTGTAGATCAGAAAAGAAACTTGATTAGCATCCACATATTGAAAAGGTTTTTTATGCTTGTGGATATTTTTTTTAAAGTTACCTGTCAGAAACTCTTAGTTCAAGGCCCTGTGTTTTCCCCTCATCAGGAAGTGTGTCTTCCTTTTTAGCACGGAGAGCTCATGCGATCATAGACTGTCAGAGGAAATTTAACATCCTGAGCTTGTGCCTTGGTATCAAAGCTTTTAAATAATAGATTTTTTACTATCTAAAACACTGTATGTCTTTAATTTATAGCTATTACCTAATACCTGTTGATATGGCACATGCCTTTAACTGGGGACAAAAAAAATACCAGGAAATATTCTGTGAAGTAGAATAACCATGGTACCTGTTCTGGGGTCAGGAATAACTGCATTTTTTTTTTTTAGCTTCCAGTTGTCCTGTGCAATTTTTTAGCTAATATGATCTGTAAGTGGCATGATGGCACATGGCACTGTGTCTTGGTAGGATCCCGCCTGTCATGGACTCGCTGTTGTAAGAATATTGTATTTCACAGCTTCATGGTTCTCTTGTGGTGTGAGAAACTGCTGGGTTAGCCAGCTAGTAGGCACTTGACTTTGTATTTATTTGTATTTAATAAGTTGTGTTGTGATATACCAGTTGTTAGGGTCTTTCCTTGCTCAGACAGGTGTACCTTGGTAAAGTCTTGGAATGTGAGTTTGTGTGTGTGAACTAAGATGCTGCTGAATGTTTCTGAATGCTGACAGCATTGGTTCTTTTCCTCAAGTTAATTGCATTCTCTTCTTTGTGTTGACACAGAGTTCTGGAACTTTGCTGCCTTCTGTGTGCCTGTAATGAGTGGTTGTAGGTGGGGAATTGAAAACTCGGATTGATACATTTTAAAATATATGTATTTATACAAATAAAGGATACTAAATAAAAGTGCCAGTTGAGCAATACTTTGTGACAGTATGTCTTTGAGAGATAATGATGCTCTTTGGGTATCATCAAGTGCAGGCAAATGTATATTCCCAGAGGGGTGTGATAATATTAAAACTCCACCTCCTGGAATTCCTTGATTGGTTTTATGAAACATTTATTCAGGAGGGAATGGTATCTATTTTGCATTTTGTGGCCTCTCATTAATTAATGGATGGCAGTTAAGACCTGGCAGTTGTCCTGTACATGCTGCACTTCCTAGGGTTTTTTTATTTAGGGCATTTTGGTGAATATTATCATTACTGACCAGTGTCCTCTCTTCCAAATCAGTTCTTTATTGATTTTTTTGCAGATTATTTTAATGAGTTGTTTGCAGCCTTAATTTTTCTGTAAGACGTTTCTGAAAGCTCATAATCTCTGTACATGCTTAGAGGCTTTTGACACTTGCTAAAATAATGATTTCTCTTTTTTTTTTTTTTTTTTTTTTTGGTAGAGTTCCAGAACTCTAATAGCTGATGGTGGTTTGAAGCAGGGGGCAGGAAGGAGCCTGGTGACCTTTTGAATTCCCTTCTGGCCCTGCTTTTCTGTACTTGTGACACTTTGTAATATGGTTTAATTACAAGAGCAGCTATTAAAGTATGATTATCGTGGTCTAATTGGAGGCATCTTGCAGCTACCTATCAAAAATAAGATTTGACTCATCTGCTCCTTCAAAATTAAATAGTTCCACAACAGCCTGCAGCTATTTATGTGAATAATGCGCAAGGCAGAAATATGAGTTGAATTTCAATCTTGTAATTTCTACACTGTACACTTGAAATCTGATAAATTTAGCAATTTTTTGAGTTACATGTACTTTTATGACTTCTTAGCTGCAGGCTGAAGCTGGATATTAATGACATTGGAAAAAAACCTCTTTAGTTGTTCAGTGATCCTAAGTCACGGTGCTCACCGTGGCTGTAGATAAACCTCAAGCAAGATGTAAAATTCCTTTTGCTCTTTGTTCTCAGAAAATGCCACTTCCCCAATTTGTTGTCTAATTGGGGGAGTTAATTAGTCCGAATTGTGTGCAAGTTCAGCTCCCCTTCCCTTCCATCTGGGCCCTCTCTTTGCTCTCTCTCAGTACCATCCTTCTGGCACCACGAGGTGCAGAGGTGTGAGCCAGAAGGAAGATGAATATCTGCAGTTAGAAGGTGAAACTTTCCCTCCCCATCCCCCCAGTGCAAACACAAAGGTTAAATTAGAAGATGAGGCTGTCTTGAATTATTTTAACGGACTTGAGCTGAGCTGTTAAATACACGACCGGGGGTACCTCAGGCTTACCCTGGTGTCATGTGAGTTTGGGCTTTCTTTAGCCTGAGCAGATTTATGTGCTTTCCTTATTGCACCTTTTGATAAAATGACATATTCGTTTGTCCCTATTTAAATACTCCTTATGAAGGATTGGATTCAGGCTTGATCCAAGGTGGAAGCAGCCAAAATACCGTGTGTTTACAGGAATAACTGTGGTCATTCCTCAAGAGCCTTCATGGCCTCTTTTCTTCAGACAGTGTTAATTTAGGAAGTAAATGGCTTAGGTTTAAATAAACAACTGCAATTTGCTTTGTAACTCCCTTGTTTTGAGTATTCCAGCTGATGCTTCATATAACCAAAAGACACAACAAAAAGTTTCTCCCTGCCTACTGCAAATTTTAAGCCTATCCAGAAGGGCACAAAATTCTGGGGGATATTGCTACATGTTGTAGCTAATCTTTCTGTTTATTGAAAACCTGCTACTTGTAATTACATTCAGAGTCACTTTCTGAAGATCTGTTTGCTCTGTAATCCTCCCCTTCAAACACTCAGAGAATTCATCACCAAAAGGTTAAATATAGCAAGACAGTTCAAAAATTGGCAAGTTATAATTAGTAGAGAACTGCAGTAGTATTGTAACATGGTTTTCCAAGTTCACAAACATCTTTGGATGAAGTTATTTATTAGTTACTACTCGGGATTGTTTTAAAACGTTCAGATATATCATACCATGTGTGGGAAATGGCTGCATCAGGGAAAAACTGCTCTGTGCTTTTGATCCTTGCCCTGTTGAGTATTTTTTCAGTCAGTATTTATTGATAACAAATTCATTTTTCTTACTAAGACAATGTAACTGTAAGTTTAACTGCAAACCCTGCAAGATTTGAAACGTGACACTTAAAAATAGATAAGATAGAGCTTTGCTATAAATTAAATAGAATTAATTTGTCAGCTTTTCAGGGAGTTGAATGTGTGTGACTGTGAGAGCAGTACTTGTGTTCAGTCACCCGTGTGTGTGAAATGCCTTATCTCCTTTGAAGTTATCTGTGTTAAAACGTAAAATGAAAAAAATGGAGAAGTCTTCCCAGAAGTGTGGAATGCGTGGTCTTTTTCTGGCTGCTAAAGCTGCCCAGACAGCTGACATCTGAAGAAATACCTCTTTCTGAAAAGTTTTTATTGTTTTGTTTACTGACTTTTAAGTAAAGTGTGGTAGTGCAGAGCGATGGGAGGAAAGCCGGTTGTACAGACAGTTGTGGAAGGCCCCTCCATGTCCCCAGCCAGCTCTTTCGTCCAGTGCCACTTCACATTTTGCCAGGCAGAATCCCACTGTGCAGCTCTCTCTGTCGTTTTTCCCTTTGCTCACCTGGGAAGCCTACTATGGATGGATATTCCCAAATATTCAGAGCCACACCAGCTTCCCATTCCCAGCTCATCTGCTGAGGAGCTCGGTTTAAAGAAGAGTCTGCAGACACTGAGTTATCAGTGACATCTTGTGTGGTGTGGTAGATGTGTGTGCTGATAGCACACATTCAGAGCATCCTGCTGCAGTGGAGGCTCTGAGCTCTTCCTCTGGGCAAGCACTTTTGGGAGCTTTTGCTACAGTTATGAGGCAAAAGTTATTTGTGTTGTTATGTTTTACTTTTGACTGTTACATGTGAAGTCACTGCTTTGGCAGATTATGCTCCTTTTAATAGATGTCAAAAGACTTTTATTTCTTGATGCGTTGTGATGGTTTATAAAATTAACCACGACGTAACATTTTGACTTTATTGGAGATCACGTACAGACAAAGAAAGAGCAAAAGCAAAGTCACAGAGAAGTATGGTTTTAGAAAAGAAAATATCTAGGAGGTTTTATTCAACCTAAATGAGACCTTAGGGATGGAGACATGCACTGAGTGTAACACAGGTGATGCCTGAGAAGTCTCTCCCACACAGT